ACCTGCTTGCCTGTCTCCAATGCTTTCACTCCAGCGCAGTAACCTACGACAGTCAACTCCAGGGAAGCTCTCTCACTTTCCCTGAGCAGCGACAGTGCCAACTGCCACTGCTCCCCTCGCTCGCACGCCGTGATTCCAGAGTTGTAGCTGACCTCGTTCGGCTCCACTCTCGCCTCCCCCATCTCTCCGAGCAGCCGCAAGGCCCACTGCCACTGTCCAGCTTTCCCACACGCACCGATGGCAACGTTGAAGAACACGGAGTCTGTTTGAGCGCCCGACCGCGACACGTCGTGGAACACCTTCAGAGCCATGACCCAGCGCTTTGTACTTCCATAGCTCTTGATGGCGGCAGTGGAGGAGACGACGGTCGATGGGCATTCCCGCCGCCCCGTGTTCGCGGCCACCTCTACCATCAATGGGCTCACCTCTGTGGCACCACCTCATTGGCCAGCACTGCCTGTCTCTGGCGCGCCGAACGACGAACGCTGGACGGCGAAAGGCTTGGGCTGGGACTTGAGCTCGAGCTGCCTCGTCCTCTCCCTCGCTCTTCCCCTCCTCTCCCTGGAACTTCCTCGACCCCCCTAGAACGTCCAAGGGCCCCCTAGAATCCCTGGAACCACCTAACAGCCTTCCCATCTCCCTTTATCCACTCCTCAACATGCCCATCCTCCTCCATACGTAACATACGTACTTTCGTTTCTGGTACCCCCCCCCCCCACGTGCCTCATCCTCCTCATCCCTCATCCTCCCCTCTCCATCCCTCATCCAACTCATCATTCATTCTCACATACCCCTCCCGAGTCCCTCCTCTCATCTCCGCATCCCTCCTTCCATCCCTTCTCCCCTCCCCCTCCCCCCGATCTCCTCCCACTCCTCCACCATCTTCCTCATCCCTGATCCTCCTCCCGATCCTCCTCATCCCTCACCTCTCCTTCCCCCGAAGTCCGCTGGAGTCAAGCTCATGAAGGGGATCCGTCACGTCCGTCACGTCTGGCATCGTGCTTCGGCAAATCCGCCGACCCTGTCGGCCTTCACGTGCACTGCGGCCCAATTTGCATCTAGCGCGCCCCACTGATGCCCGATCGCCGGGGCAGTCACTCTCTGCCCAGCCGCCGACGCAAAAGTGAGGGGAATTGTGTGTTCGTCGTCCCCAGTTGTTCCTACGAGCCGATCTCTCACTCGATTTGCTCTCATTCCCAGAAGCTCTCACGAGACCCTCTTTCGCGCTGCCAGACTCGTCAACTCGAGGTGCATCGAGCCAGGTCGAAGTCGAAGTCGCAATTGAGTCGAAAGGAAGCCCCTCCGCCTCCGCCTCCGCCTCCGCCTCCGCCTCGGCCTCCGCCTCCTCCTCCTCCTCCTCCTCATCCTCCTCCTGCTCCTCCTCCTCCTCCTCCTCCTCCTCCTCCTCATTTGGTCCCTTCCCCGCCTGGGGAGGGGGGTAATGGCAGGGGTCCCTAGGGGGGGCTCCCTGGGCGGGAGTCCCAAGGGGGTTCCCCGCTAAGAATACGGCCCCCTCTTTCCTTCTCGGGCCGCCTTCCGGCAAAGTTGGCCCGCCTTCGGCACAGCAGGTCCAAGGTTTTCCCAGAGGGGCCCAAGACGGCCGAGAGTCGCCGAAATATTGCGCGAAGACGCCCAAGATGGCTTTCAGACGGCCCGCGACGCCTCCAAGACGCCCCAAGAGGCCTCCAACAGCACTTCCAAGAAGGCCCCAAGAGGCATCATGTTTCAATTTCCATTGGTTTTTGAAAGACTTCGGCGTTTCAGCCTTTTCGGCTTCCCGATGCTCCAAGACGGCCCAATAGGCACCAAAGATCGCCCCAAGACGGCCTACGAGGCAGTCAAGAGGGCGCCGAGACGGTCAAAAAGGCCTCCAAGACAGCCCAAGAGGCCTCCAAGACGGCCCAAGACGGCCCTGACGGCGTACACGAATCGACATTCCGAGCTCACCGCCCCAACAGGCTCCCGGAAGACCCCAAGGGGCTCCCAAGAGGCCCCCAGGAGGCTCCCAAGAGGTCCCCAAGAGGCCCCCAGGAAGTCCCCAAACGCTCCCAAGAAGCTCCCAAGCGGCCTCCAAACTGCTTCCAGAGGCCCTGGGCAGCCCTCCGAAGAGATCCCAAGAACCATCCATGAGGATTCTGACCTGCACGCCACAACAACACCTGAGGCGACCCTTGGTACAGACGGAAACCAAACGCCCAACTTGGAATCGATTACCCTACCATCCCTCAGACTAGTTGTCCCTGGATGCCCTCTCGCAACGGCTCCAGTGCTGCCATCACTTTCACGGATCGCCTAGGCGCATCAGCACCGACCGCTGTCGAGGAGCAGAAAACGCAGACTGGGGCGAAATGCACTACCGTACCGAACCAAGCCCCCGAGACATGAGCTGAGCGGGGGCATGCGAACTTGCCCCCATGGGGCCGTAGGCGATCCCCATGGGGCACGAAGCTTCGGGGGAGGGTGCCGAAAGGAATGGAACGGCGGCATTCGAGCGTGCCCCCTATGGAGCCGTGGGCGTGGAGCTCCCCGAGTGGCACGGCACGTGTGAGGGGCGCGCCGAAGCACTCCAGAACTGGCACGCGGGGAGCGGAGACAGGAAGAGGAGGAGGAGGAGGAGGAGGAGGAGGAGGAGGAGGAGGAGGAGGAGGAGGAGGAGGGAACAGGCTAGGGCGCGGCGCTGCTCATCATTCAAAACGAGGGCCCAACTCCACAGGAGGGCTGCCAGAGCAGGAAGAGGAGGGTAGCGAGGAGGATAGCGAAGAATGCCCGCGAGATCCACGTGCCGTTCTTTACTGGACTGGGCAGCCACATGTGCACCCTACCCCTACATGTGTCGCCCCATCGAGGGCACGATGACTGAATCATCGTACCCTCGGCGCAAGCGAGCCACCGCAGCAAGCGCACTCGGCTGCAATGCATTAGCCTTCCTACGGACAAGATCGACGTCTCCCTGCCGCGCCAGGGGCCGAGCCACGCGGGCGGCGCTGGCCGCTGGCCGGCCTCCGGAAGAAGCTCTTGAGGAGCCCACGCTTCAGGCGGCTGCGGAGCGCGCTCTGGCACCTCGCGGTCTCCAAGCCGTCGCCTTGCAAGGATACGGCATGGGGCTTCTGCCAGGGCATTTGATAGTATAGTCCTTCGTAGAGTCTCTCTGAACAACCAGAAAACTGTGCGGGAGTCAAATCTTGTGGCCTCAGTGGCCACGCAGGCGGGCCGGGAAGGGCGTCAGTTTTTTCATCGCACTTCATATTGCATCGCCCCCACGTCGTACGGCGCATGATTACGATCTATCGTCGCGATATTGCTGAAGGCGGGTGTGCATGACAACATGAAATTTGTTGTGCGCTCCCTAGCCAACGAGGCTCAAGTCTACAAGACGTTCGACCACACTTCTGAGCCAGGCGGAATACAAAACGCAATCACAGCTTGAGTTCGGTTTCATCGGTCTGACACCCGCCAATGTCCATAGGGGGAAAACAAACCTACCTCGCTTTTGACCACCCTCGCTTCCAAGAGATACCAAACGATGCCAAATTGCAGCCTGTACTGGTCAGGCCGCTTGACGAGGAGGCGCGTGGTATGGCTTGGTTTTGCCTGGAAGCGAAAGCGGGGTAGGTAATTCACGCTCTGAGTCCAGAAGATCCCTGCTGAATCTTGTCGAGCGGGGACGGGTCTTCAACATGCTGGCCTGCTGCGAGGGAACAGGGGGGAAGCGAAGGATCGGAGGGCGGCGCTCGAACCTCGCCCTCGCTCCCAGGTCATGCCAGGCCGTACCAAACACCACTTGTCCTTTACCATGCACGCTGCTGATGGGCCTGTTTTCCACCACCACCACCATGAGTAGGAGGGGGAGGGGGTCCTCCTCCTCCTCCTCCTCCTCCTCCTCCTCCTCCTCCTCCTCCTCCTCCTCCTCCTCCTCCTTCCCCCCTTCCAACTTATGGTTGTGGTGGTGGAAAACAGGCCCATCAGCTGCACCTGGAGTCTGGAAGTGTGGCGGGAAGGCCCAAAAGCGGTTGTGAATTGTGGGTCCCTCTGCAGAAAGATGCCTCGGGGCGCCGCGGACACCCGCGCCGTGGGCCGCGGCGCACCCGGCGCGTCCGGCGGCAGCGGCAGCGGCTCCGGCCAGGGGCGCAGGCGCTTCCTGCCCAGCCGGACGCCCCCGCCGGAGGTCGCCTGAGCGCGCTGCGGCAGCAGCCCGGGGTCGCCCGAGAACGCGCGCAGGACCCGCGCGAGCGCGGCCAGCGCGCTGGCCCCAGAGCCGCGCGGGGCCTCCACGAAGAAGTACTCCAGCGAGGCCGAGAACACGCCAACCTCGCCGCGGTGGCCGCTCGGTGTGACCGAGAGGTGCCGCGTGTTGAGGAGCTCATCCTTGAGGCACGCCTCCGCGGCACGCCCGGGGCGCGTGAAGCACCCGTGGTCCGCGGGCGGCGGGAACACGAAGCAGCCTGCCCCCGTCACGTTCGTGAGCCTCAGGAGCGGGCTTTTCTTCTCTATGTAATTCACGAGGGCGCTCGCGTCCCCTCGCAGATTGCACTGGGCCCCCGCCAGCTCGCGGTAGCCCAGCTTCACAAAGAGCCGCGGCCCGCCCGCCCGGGAGCCCCTGCCACGCTCGGGCACGAAGGCGAGGTACAGCACCTCGGACGCGGGGGCGCAGGCGCCCCGAAGGAAGAGGCAGAGGGGCTGCCAGCGCTTCGAGGCGAAGTTGAAACAGACCTGACACGGCCGGCCGCTCACCACCAGCATCCAGCCTCGGCTGCGCGTGAGGGCGACCCTGGGCAAGAGTGACCTTTGGTGCGCGGCTTTTTGGGGGGCGCGAGGAGGCCAAACACGAGCGCGCAAGACGCTACTATCGCAACGAGCGCGGCGATGAGGGGACCCCGGTGACCGCGCACCAAAGGCCACTCTGGCGAAGGGTCGCTCTTACGTGCAGTCGACAACCGTCCCCGTCCCTCCGCAGGTGGCAGCCGCGCCCGGGCTCGAACGCCTCCAGGCGCCCGCTGTGCAGCACCCGGCGGCCACGGGGCTCGGCGCCCCCGGCCAGCACGAGGGCCACGTCGCGCGGCACGTGCAGGACCTCTCGGAGGCAGCCCAGGCCGCAGCGTGGACGGCGCGAGGCTCGCCCCTCCCCCTCCCCCCCTGGAGGAGGGGGGGGAGGGCGAGGAAGGGAGGAGGAAGGAAGAGGCCTCCCAAGTGGGGTCCGAGAGCAGATGGGGTCGGAGGATCGGCTCCACATCGAGGCGCATAATGAGCCCCTAGTTCTTTGGGAGACCGTGGCTTGGAGAAAAGAAGGGCGATTGAGAGGAGCGGGGCCGCATCTCACCAACCCAAACATGCGACGTCCTGACTTTTCAATACGCGATTCCCGGAAGCCCCAACCCTTTCCCTGGGGCCGGTTTCTCATCCTGAGTTGTTTTTTGACGGTCCCGCGGCCTTGCGAGGGCCCCCAGAGGCCGAAAACTATTGAAAAAACAGTCGTCCTGATTTTTGTTCACGACGCGAGCATGCCTGGGCAACATGCCCCCGTGCTCTTCGCCGCCCCCCGAGGGACACTCCCGGTGAAGCCGCCGAGGCACGGCAGGGCCAGCCGGGCCCCGCTGGACTCCAGGCGCGCCGCACCCGCGTCGCCCGTGCAAGCGAGCAGCACCCGCAGCTCGTGTAGAGCCTCTTCGCACGACTCGGGCGACGGCTCGGCCTCGACCTGATGGGCAAATGTTCCACCACCACTACCACATGTAGGACGGGGGAGAACGGAGGACGAGGAGGTCCTCCTCCTCCTCCTCCTCCTCCTCCTGCTCCTGCTCCTCCTCCTGCTCCTCCTGCTCCTCCTGCTCCTGCTCCTGCTCCTGCTCCTGCTCCTGCTCCTCCTCCTCCTCCTCCTCCTCCTCCTCCTCCTCCTCCTCCTCCTCCTCCTCCTCCTCCTCCTCCTCCTCCTACCTATGGTAGTGGTGCTGGAAAATGGGCTCATCACGACCGGCTCTGGTGCCGAGTCGTCGTCGACGTCCCCGCGAGGTTGGCGCGGGCGCCGCGGCCAGCGCCTGCGCCTGCGCGCCGCCGCTTCCGAGCGCTGATCGGGGGCACCCGGGCAGGGCTGGACCTGCTGGGGAGGACGCCGACTGCGCAGCGACACCCATCCTGGCCTGGCCCGCCTTCACCATGGGGGGAACCACACCGATGTCCCAAGACCCCAAACGTCATGATTTTTGTCACGACGTGGAGCTCCAGCGGTCTGGACCCATGCGCTGGGACCAGTTTTTCGCCCTAAGTCGTTTATGGACGGTCCCGAGGCCCTGTAAGGGCCCCCAGAGGCTCGGGATAGCGCTAGGTCGGGCCCAAAAACAAAAGAATAGTCAAAACAAACAATCAGACAATAATCAAAAATCGTCCCCAGAGTATTTCTTAAAATACGTTTGCATATTCCTCCTGTAGAGGGACATGCCCGACTTACGAAGAGCGAACAACACTCCCCGTCGCGATTTCTGTCATGATCTGAGGAGGTCTGGGCCCTCGGCCTCGCGGTCCGGGCCCCTGGCCGGCCCGCCTTCACCATGGGCAGAGATAAAAACGAAATTATGCTAACGGAGTTCCCCACATAAAAAGATTAACGGTTTCGTGGGACCCATTTTCTTGATGCCCTCCTCGCGACGCTGGAGGGGTGGGAGGGGCACGAAACCATGTAAATAGTATGGTTTTCCGATACTCTCCTCGCTCAGGCTGGGCCTCCCTGGAGGGGTGGGAGGGGCACGAAACCAACTAAATAGTATGGTTTTCGGATACCCTCCTCGCTCAGGCGGGGCCTCCCTGGAGGGGTGGGAGGGGCACAAAACCATGTAAATAGTATGGTATTCCGATACCCTCCTCGCTCAGGCGGGGCCTCCCTGGAGGGGTGGGAGGGGCACGAAACCATGTAAATAGTATGGTTTTCCGATACCCTCCTCGCTCAGGCGGGGCCTCCCTGGAGGGGTGGGAGGGGCACGAAACCATGTAAATAGTATGGTATTCCGATACCCTCCTCGCTCAGGCGGGGCCTCCCTGGAGGGGTGGGAGGGGCACGAAACCATGTAAATAGTATGGTATTCCGATACCCTCCTCGCTCAGGCGGGGCCTCCCTGGAGGGGTGGGAGGGGCACGAAACCATGTAAATAGTATGGTATTCCGATACCCTCCTCGCTCAGGCGGGGCCTCCCTGGAGGGGTGGGAGGGGCACGAAACCATGTAAATAGTATGGTATTCCGATACCCTCCTCGCTCAGGCGGGGCCTCCCTGGAGGGGTGGGAGGGGCACGAAACCATGTAAATAGTATGGTATTCCGATACCCTCCTCGCTCAGGCGGGGCCTCCCTGGAGGGGTGGGAGGGGCACGAAACCATGTAAATAGTATGGTATTCCGATACCCTCCTCGCTCAGGCGGGGCCTCCCTGGAGGGGTGGGAGGGGCACGAAACCATGTAAATAGTATGGTATTCCGATACCCTCCTCGCTCAGGCGGGGCCTCCCTGGAGGGGTGGGAGGGGCACGAAACCATGTAAATAGTATGGTATTCCGATACCCTCCTCGCTCAGGCGGGGCCTCCCTGGAGGGGTGGGAGGGGCACGAAACCATGTAAATAGTATGGTATTCCGATACCCTCCTCGCTCAGGCGGGGCCTCCCTGGAGGGGTGGGAGGGGCACGAAACCATGTAAATAGTATGGTATTCCGATACCCTCCTCGCTCAGGCGGGGCCTCCCTGGAGGGGTGGGAGGGGCACGCCATGGTATGGTATGGTACGGTATGGTACGTATGGTGTGGTATGGTATGGTATGGTATGGTATGTGTGGTAGGAACTATGGTATGGTATGGTGTGTGTGGTAGGAATAAGATTGTGCTGTATGGAAGATGGAGCGGGAGGTGGGTGGGAAGGAGAGGGTGTTCTGGGAAAAAAACTAACGGAGTTCCCCACATAAAAAGATTAACGGTTTCGTGGGACCCATTTTCTTGATGCCCTCCTCGCTCAGGCGGGGCCTCTCTGGAGGGGTGGGAGGGGCACGAAACCATGTAAATAGTATGGTTTTCCGATACCCTCCTCGCTCAGGCTGGGCCTCCCTGGAGGGGTGGGAGGGGCACGAAACCATGTAAATAGTATGGTATTCCGATACCCTCCTCGCTCAGGCGGGGCCTCCCTGGAGGGGTGGGAGGGGCACGAAACCATGTAAATAGTATGGTATTCCGATACCCTCCTCGCTCAGGCGGGGCCTCCCTGGAGGGGTGGGAGGGGCACGAAACCATGTAAATAGTATGGTATTCCGATACCCTCCTCGCTCAGGCGGGGCCTCCCTGGAGGGGTGGGAGGGGCACGAAACCATGTAAATAGTATGGTATTCCGATACCCTCCTCGCTCAGGCGGGGCCTCCCTGGAGGGGTGGGAGGGGCACGAAACCATGTAAATAGTATGGTATTCCGATACCCTCCTCGCTCAGGCGGGGCCTCCCTGGAGGGGTGGGAGGGGCACGAAACCATGTAAATAGTATGGTTTTCCGATACCCTCCTCGCTCAGGCGGGGCCTCCCTGGAGGGGTGGGAGGGGCACGAAACCATGTAAATAGTATGGTTTCCGATACCCTCCTCGCTCAGGCGGGGCCTCCCTGGAGGGGTGGGAGGGGCACGAAACCATGTAAATAGTATGGTTTCCGATACCCTCCTCGCTCAGGCGGGGCCTCCCTGGAGGGGTGGGAGGGGCACGAAACCATGTAAGTAGTATGGTTTTCGGTATGGAGTGGTATGGAATGGTATGGTAGGTATGGTATGGTACGGTATGGTATGATATGGTATGGTATGGTACTGGAGGTATGGTATGGTATGGTACGGTGTGGCATTGGTGTGATATGGTATGGTATGCTATGGTACGCCATGGTATGGTATGGTACGGTATGGTACGTATGGTGTGGTATGGTATGGTATGGTATGGTATGGTATGTGTGGTAGGAACTATGGTATGGTATGGTGTGTGGTAGGAATAATATGGTGCTGTATGGAAGATGGAGCGGGAGGTGGGTGGGAAGGAGAGGGTGTTCTGGGAAAACAAGAACCCCACTCAGGATGTGGGGAACAAGAACCCCACTCAGGATGTGGGGAAAAAAACGGCGTGAACATAAACTTCTGGCGCTCCGCGCGGATTTCTTGGATGTGTGCTGGACCCCCTCCCTGGCGCGTAGAGCGCGCCGGGGGGCGGCGCCGGAGGCGCCGCTGGGGGGGCCCACCGCGGATCCAAGAAATCCGCGCGGCGCGCCGGCAGTCTACGCTTATGCCGTTCTTCTTCCAGGGAAGCACACCGATGTCCACGGCCTCGCGGTCCGGACCCCCCGGCCGCGACCCCACGGATGCAGGGTGGGTCTGCGCGGCTGCCACGGAAGGAACGTATCTCCACGGGGAGGGCGCCTCGGTGTCCACACCGCGAGGGCACGTGTGAGGGCATGTTGGTCGCTCGTGGCCCGAGCCCAGGATCATCCAGGATCGGTGGATGCGCCACCTCCTCCTCCTCCTCCTCCTCCTCCTCCTCCTCCTCCTCCTCCTCCTCCCCGGCTGCGGTAACTTTCTGCTGGACACCGCCAGGTGGCGACATCCGAACCCAACCCCACCCACCGTCGATCCTCCTGAGTCGGCGGGGGGCGGGGGTGGGATTCGGATTTCGCCACGCGTTCGACGAACTCCGAACCCTACCCCACAGACCATCGAGTTGCCTGCATCGTTGATCGGCGGGAATAGGGTTAGGTCGGGCATGTCCTCCTACAGGTGGATTTTGGACGAAACACTAAACATAGTCAAAAAATGTCGCCCCAATACCCAGAATCATTTAATCAATCGTCCCCGTCTTATTTTTCGACTGTTTCTGAATATTCCTCCTGTAGTGGGACACGCCCGACTTATGGATAGGGTTCGGATCCCGCCGCGCCAGCCTTGGAGCGCCCGCGCCCGAGCCGCCGCACCGCGACGCCGCGAGGCGGCGCACTTCGACCAGGCCCGGAGGGCGACCTCGCCGACCCTGGTCCCGGGACGGGCCTGGCCAAGATCGGTGCACCCAGACCTCCGAAGTCGTGACTCGTTCCACGGCTCATGTTGCTGCCATCGTACTGACTGGCCGAATTCCAAAAATGATGTATTTCGAGCTCCCAGAAGAGTGTCGAAACTGTGTCGAGCACCCCCTCCCCCAGGCGACCTGCAGCCAACCCGGACCCATGCCGACCCCCCCACACTATCCCTGTCACAAACAATACAAGATACTCTTTGACTTCAAATCTGACGCATGCGCGGGCGCCCCGCGACCACTTTGCAGTTGGTTGTTGACAGAAGCAGCGGGGGTGCCCTCATACTGCTTGCTGCGCGCAAGCCAACCATCCCTGTCAAAAACAATAAGCATTAAGCATGCCTCCGAGTCTGGAGCACGCACGGGCGTCCCGCGACCACTTTGCACGAGTTCCTGACAGGGACGGCGGGGGCGCCCTCATATGGTTTGCTGCGCGCAGGCCAACAATACCTGCCAGCCTGCAATGCAAGATGCTGCTTCCGAGTCGGGAGCATGTGCGGGCGCCGCGCGACCACTGTGCATGCGTTGTTGGTAAGGGTGCTCGGGTGCTGCGTTTGTGCTGGGATTGCGGGCAGGGGTGAGCGAGACGGCTTCTGCCTTGTGGGCAGAAAGTGTCTGGACCCTCCCACACATACCCCCTCTCCTGCCTGGAATCGGGACCAAGGTTACAGAGGAGGCCAGTCCACAAAAAGCAACCCTGAGACCCCAAGACATCCATTGTGTTTGGGTGTGGAAACGTCGCGCTTTCCACAGCAAAACCATCGAAACCCAAGAAACCCAGGGCACCCTGGAGGCAAGCAGGGTGTTTCGTGGCATGGATCTCCACTGTACCCCCTCTCCTGCCTGGGGTCGGGACCGAGGTTACTCGAGGTGTCAGACGGCAGCGGGGCCTCCTAGGGACGCCCCCGAGGGGCCAATACCATTCGAACACAGCATGGACTCCAAGGGGTTGGTCGTGTCGCCGCGTCGCTGTCGATGGGCGTCTGAGGCCTCTAGATGACCGAGAGATCCCCCAAGGGAACCCCACGAGAGGGGCCCAAGACTGCCACAAGAACGTTCCACTAAGACCTCAAGAGCGTCCCGCGAGCGTCCCGAGAAAGGCATGAGAGACGACTCTTCGTTCTCAAAGGGGGGGGGGCGCATCATGCCGCCTCCTCGCTCAAAGCCAGAACAATTGAAGAGCATTAGGTGGTCGAGTGATGTTGGCATCTCGATGACACTATTGGCTCCAACATTGCCCTCGATATCTCAATATGGTCTACAAGATTGCGTAAGTAAGATGGCCCACGCTGGCTCAGGATAGCATCGAATATGCCTCAAGGAGGCCCCAAGGCGGCCCATATAATGATCACAAGCGGTATCGGAGCCCCCCAACCCCAATGAGACCTCCCAGAAGTCACCATCAATCAACCATAAGCTTGTTCATCGATGATGATGGCATTCTCGCCTGTTCGCTTCTAATGGTGTTCTGCGGCCTCAAGATCGCTCCACCAAGTCGACCAAGAAAACCCCAAAATGGGCCCAGAAAAACGTAAAAACACTGCCCCAAGAGCGTCCAGGAGCACCTCAAAAGAGTCTTAAGATTCGATGCGTCAAGCTCCAACGGGGCGACGCTAATTCAAGGACCCGCATGAGTTTGATGAAGGACGTCCTGGATGCCCCATAGAATGCCCCGAAAGCCCCCAGGAGGGCCTCTAGAGAGCCCTGGGGAGGCCACAAAGGTATCAATCAATGCCCCGAGATGTTCAAAACACGTATCAGAAAGGCGCAAAAATTAAAAGATGCGCGAATGCATTCCTGGTTGACCCCTAGTCTGGTCAAGCTGCATCCGAGTTTCGAGTTAATGGCTGCCTCACATCTTGGCTCCACTGCTTGCCCCCACACTTCCCTGATCAAAACAACTCGCCTGGGCATCATGTCTGTTTTGGATGGCGAAGATACTTATTTGTTCGCGAGCGCAAACGGAAGGGCAGCGCGCCGTCCAAAGCTACAGCTAAGAAGCAGGAGCCTAAAGATGGCGAGGAGACGCGAAGCATCAAGAATCCCACCATCCCTTCAGGGCGTAGCTGGTTTAGGGAGGTCGTTCTTCAAACCTCCTTCTCTAATCGGGGAAACGTCTACCTATACCCCGACCCCCCCCCCTCACTGGATCTGGACGGGGGCCCAAGATGGCTGCAAGACCGCCCGCCACAGAAATCCCAAGATGACCTCGAACATGGCTCACGATATACCACCATGGCTCCAAATACTCTCCGATATGACTCCAAGGGGCCTCAAAAGCGCACCGAGACCTCTTCGAAAGGCCTCCGAGACTCCCAAGGACATTCCCGATATACCCCAACCAATAAAACACATACGGAATATACTGTTTTGCCGGTCTCGCCGTTTCGCTTCTGGCCCCAAACTAGCCCAAGTGAGCCCTATGAAGGGCTCAAGGGAGCCCCGCAGACTGCCCAAAGACCGCCCCCAGGGGGCCCCAGGAGGAGAATGATCGACCCCCCAAAGGGCCCCCCCATCCTTGATCGACGGCCTTCGAGATGGGCCCAAGAGGGCTTCTACGGAAAAGGGTCCCAAGAGGGCCCCAAAATGACCCCAAGGGGGGCCCCAAGATGTCCCAAGTAAGCTGCCAAGAGGCTTCTAAATGGAACGATTCGCGAAGGCATTGACGGTTGACTCCTGGGTCTGCTCAGGCTGATCCCGAGCATCGCTTTGACGGATGCACCCCTGTTTGTTCTGCTGCTTGCTTGATCCTACACCTCCCTGACCAAAACAACCCGCACAAAGCCTCACTTCATGATGGGCTTGTGGGAACGCCCGGAGCGTCAGCCATCTCGGGGTGAAACCGGCCGCCATGTAGCCACGAGGACGCCCAGGGAGGCGCACGAGGCAGCCCTGGAGTTGCCTCCTCTTCCTCCTCCTCCTCCTCGTCATCATCAGCATCATCAGCATCATCTGCATCATCATCATCATCATCAGCATCATCATCATCATCATCATCATCATCATCATCGTCATCATCATCATCATCATCATCATCATCATCATCATCATCATCATCATCATAATCATCATCTGCATCATCACCATCATCATCAGCATCCACATCATCATCATCATCATCATCATCATCATCATCATCATCATCATCCCCCTTCTCCTCCTCCTCATCATCATCATAATCAGCAGCATCAGCAGCAACATCATCATCACCACCGTCACCACCGCCATCATCATCATCAGCATCAGCATCACCATCACCACCATCACCACCACCATCTTCCTCCTCATCATCATCAGCATCAGCATCACCATCACCATCACCACCATTACCACCACCATCATCATCATCGGCATCATCGTCCCCCTCCTTCGCCTCCTCCTCCTCCTCCTTCTCCTCCTCCTCATCATCATCACCACCAGCATCAGCATCATCATCATCACCACCATCACCACCACCATCATCATCATCATCATCAGCATCATCGTCCCCCTCTTTCTCGTCCTCCTCCTCCTCATCATCATCACCAGCATCATCATCATCACCACCATCACCACCACCATCGTCATCATCAGCAGCATCATCATCGTCATCCCCCTCCGCCTCCTCATCATCATCTGCAGCATCATCATCATCGTCACCACCATCATCACCGTCATCATCATCAGCAGCAGCATCGTAAACATCATCAGCACCGCCTTCATCGCCATCACCATCATCATCATCATCAGCATCATCATCATCAGCATCATCATCGTCGGCAGCAGCATCATCATCCCCCTCCTCCCCCTCATCATCATCAGCATCATCTTCATCACCACCATCACCACCACCATCATCATCAGCATCATCGTCGCCCTCCTTCTCCTCCTCCTCCTCATCATCATCATCATCAGCATCATCATCATCACCACCATCACCACCACCATCGTCATCATCAGCAGCATCATCATCGTCATCCCCCTTCCGCCTCCTCATCATCGTCATCAGCAGCATCATCACCATCGTCACCACCATCATCACCGTCATCATCATCAGCAGCAGCATCGCAATCATCATCAGCATCATCATCATCGCCATCACCATCATCATCAGCATTAACATCAGCATCATCATCACCAACATCACCATCATCCTCTTCTCCTCCTCATCATCATCATCATCAGCAGCATCATCACCACCACTACCACCACCATCATCATCAGCATCATCAGCAGCAGCATCATCATCATTATCATCATCAGCAGCCGCAGCATCATCAGCATCATCATCGTCCCCCTCCTCCTGCTCCTCCTCCTCATCATCAGCATCAGCATCATCATCACCACCAGCATAACCACAACCATCATCATCATCAGCATCATCAGCATCATCATCGTCGTCATCATCATCAGCATCATCATCATTATCCCCCTCTTCTTCATCATCATCAGCATCATCATCACCACCATCACCACCGTGATCATCATCATCATCATCATCATCGTCATCATCACCATCATTAACCCCATCCTCCTCCTCATCATCATCACCAGCAGCATCATCATCATGACCACCATCATCACCATCATCATCATCATCATCGACACCACCACCACCATCATCATCATCATCATCACCACCACCACCACCACCATCATCATCATCATCATCCCCTTCATCCTCATCCTCATCATCATCAGCAGCCTCCGCCTCCTCATCATCATCAGCAGCATCATCATCATCGTCACCACCATCATCACCACTAGCATCATCATCGTCACCATCACCAGCATCACCATCATCATCAGCATCAGCATCATCAGCATCATCATCATCATTATCCTCATCATCATCATAATCATCATCCCCCTCCTCCTCCTCCTCCTCCTCCTCCTCCTCCTCCTCCTCCTTCTCCCTCCTCCTCCTCCTCCCCTCTCCTCCCCCCCCCCCCCCTCCTCCTCCTTCTCC